CCCCCTCCCCCCCTGCGCCCCCCTCCCCTTATTCCGACCGACCGTGGGCCACCCCCCCCGCTTCTCCCCTGCGCCCCCTTCCCCTTATTCCGACCGACCGTGGGCTCCCCCCCCCGCTCCCCCCTGCGCCCCCCTCCCCTTATTCCGCCGACCGTGGCACCCCCCCTCCCGCTCCCCCCCTGTGCCCCCCTCCCCTTCAGCCGGCATGGTTTCCAGCGGCTGAGCCTCGCCGAGGGCGTTCCGAGAGTGCCCGTGTCGTCCCGAACGGCCGCCGGAGGCCGAGGCCAGCTTTTTGGGCCGTTTGGGCTATCTTGAGAGCTGAAAAGAACAACATGCCCAAGTCCTTGAAGCACAACGGAAAATCATTCATTTTGCCCCTTTCGGGCTTTCCCAGAGGACGTTTTGGAGGGCTCTCGGTCCGTTTTGGAGGAATCCTGCGAGCCTTTTGGGCCGTCCTAAGCCATCTTGAGGCCATCTTGGCCCGTCTTGGGGGCATCCTGGGGCTATCTGAGCCGTCTGGAACGCCATCTTAGCCATCGTGGAGGCATCTTGAGGGCCATCTTGGGCCATCTTGGCCGTTTTGGAGGCCTCTTGGGCCGTCTTGGGGCCCTCTTGGGGCCGTCTTGGGGGCTCCTTGGGCCGTCATGGGGCCATCTTAGAGGCCTCTTGACGATCTAGGGGCGACCTTGGGGACCTCTTGGGCCGTCTTGGACCGTCGGAAAGCCGAAAAGGCGCGAACGCACGAATCCTTCAAAAACTTAAAGAAAATTCATAAATATTGCCCTTTTCGGGCCTTCATGGAGGACCTCTTGGAGGCCTGTTGGGCCATCTTGGACGCCTCGTGGGAGCCGTTTGGGCCCATCCAGGGCCGTTTTGGGTGCATTTTGGGCCGTCTTGGAGGCATTTTGGTGCCATGTTGGCCGTCTTGGAAGCCATCTTGGAGGTACTTGGAGGCCATCTTGGCCGTTTTGGAGGCAATCTTAGCCATCTTGGAGGCCTCTTGGCCCGTGTTGAGGCCCTCTTGGGACCGTCTTGGAGGCCTCTTGGGCCGTCATGGGGCCATCTTGGGGGCCTCTTGGGCAATTTTGGGGCGATCTTGGGGGCCTCTTGGGCCGTCTTGGACCGTCGGAAAGCCGAAAAGGCGCAAATGACCAAATCCTTCCCAAACCCAAAGAAAATCAATGATTTTGGCCTCTTCGGGCCCTCCTAGACGACCTCTTGAAGGCCTCTTGGGCTGTCTTGGAGGCCTCTTTGGAGCCTCTTGGACCGTCTTGGGCCTCTGGGACCCTTCCGAGGCGACCCCGGCGGACAGGCCAGGCGGCCGGGAAGCTCGCCGCCGCCCGCCGCTCGGTGAGCGAGCCTCGGGCCCGAGGCGAGGATGAGTGGCCTGGGCCAGCCTCGGGTCGGAGGCGAGGACGGTGAGGCGGAGGAGGAAGCGGAGGGGGAGGGGGAGGAGGCGGAGGTGGAGGGGGAGGAGGAGGACGAGAAGGAGGAGGACGAGGACGCAACGTGCCCGGCCGCATGCCGACGGCGAGGGCGACTCCGCCGACACGCGCCGCACCGCCCCAGAAGGTGGAGAGAGGGGGAGGACAAGGAGGAGGTCGAGAACCAGGAGGAGGAAGAGAGGCGGGACAGGAGAAAGTGGAGGTGAGGAGGGGGAGAAGGAGGACAAGACAGAGGACAAGCGACCTTCCTCCATACCCAAACTGACATGCTTCTAGCCGCCCCTTCCCGTCTTCGAATCTGTCCCTTGCCAACGTGTCGCAGCAATTGCGGCACGCTTCCCGGCGCCTGCCAAGGACTGCCTCCCTCACATCGTCATTGTATGATCCTTGGCACGCGTGCCCCTTGTTAGTAGTCGTATTAGTGTCACAAAGAACAAGAAGATAGCAACTTCGTTTCGTAACTTTTTCCTGCGATAATGAAGTTCGACCTTGCCGCCCCTCTCTCCCGACCAACTCTGTCTTTGGCGGAGGTAATCAACACTAGAGGGTTAAGAGAAGGATGCTTGACTATCCGTGGCATGGGGTTATGGGGGGAGAGAGAGAGAGAGAGAGAGAGAGAGAGAGAGAGAAAGAGGGGGAGGGTATGGGGCATATCGCGCGTTATGGCCCAGAGGGTAGAAAATACATCCCCCAAGCGAAAGCGCCGCTTTGATTGAGGGACGCCCTCTATGCTTATAGCTGCTGCACCACAGCAGTTGGGTTGCACATGTGCAGGAAGTCTCAGACGAGAGCCCCGGCCTGAAGAGGTGTATCCGTGTAGCCGTTGTGAAGTAGTACGTGTGAGGTTGTCTGCCCTTCATCTAGCAAATGCAAGCTATCAAGACGAGTGTTCGCGGGAACGATAACGAGAGACACATTTTGAAAACGATCCCCCGCCAGCCGTTTAACGTTTAGAACTTTCAAGCAGAATGTGCGCATCGCTCCGACGAGCGCCGCAACATGAAAACAGACCGTCATCCGTCCATGTGACTGTTCGTAAGTTTCAAGACGACTGCGCGCGGCGCGTTGTCGAAAGCCGCATTTTGAAAACGGGCCGCCATCCATGTGTGCAAGTTGGCCAAATGCCCTGGCCACCCTCCCGACACGACTGTTAGCGCGACGAGGGGGAGTTAGTGAAAGGAAGAATGGTGGAGAAAGAGGGGAGCAGGAGGTAGGGATGAAAATGGATATATAGATATAACACGTAGCGTTAAATCTGACTTGCTACATGCCGAAGCTTCTGGCAGTCCCCTCACTCCAATAGAGCACCTTAGGCCAGAGCCCTGGCCCAATTCTGGACAAGTGTTCTCGAGTGGTGCCCGTGGGCTCCCGACACACGCCCTTGAAGGAACGGAGTTGAGAGCTCCCAAAAGAGCCACCGACACCGCACTATCACAACTCCAAGTCGGAATGATAAACGAGTTTGCGAGAGCTGTGAATCCACCGCCCAGCACAGTGTGTCGGATTTTGAGCAGGCACCTTGAAACGTTTTCCGTCGACGGGCTCCAGTTTAAAACAGCGTGTCCGTAACCAACCTGCAAGGGTCTTCTGCGTGGCCGTCCGTGACAGATTGTGCACGTTCGGCCGCTATCATTCAGAGTGTGCTCCGAGTAGAATGTTGCCACGATCTTGGGTGCAGGAGGGGGCCGATGATGCTTTGTCCTGCATTCCGCATTCTGCCGAGGACCGGCGGCGATCTCATCCATGTGAAAACGGAATAGTCTTTTTCGAACCAGGGCACAAGCCAAAGCAGCCCAAACCAGCCAGGGATTGGGGGACAGCCGAGGGACCGAGCGACCGAGGGGCGGTCGACGAGCCTGAGGCGACCAGTGCAACCGACGGACAAGCGAAAAGAACCCCAAAGAAGTCAAAACCAGCCAGGGAGTGGGGGACAGCCGAGGGACCGAGCGACCGAGGGGCGGTCGACGAGCCTGAGGCGACCAGTGCAACCGACGGACAAGCGAAAAGAACCCCAAAGAAGTCAAAACCAGCCAGGGAGTGGGGGACAGCCGAGGGACCGAGCGACCGAGGGGCGGTCGACGAGCCTGAGGCGACCAGTGCAACCGACGGACAAGCGAAAAGAACTCCAAAAAGCCAAAACCAGCCAGGGAGTGGGGGACAGCCGAGGGACCGAGCGACCGAGGGGCGGCCGACGAGCCTGGGGCGACCAGTGCAACCGACGGGCAAGCGACAGGGAGGGGGGGACAGCCGAGGGACCGAGCGACCGAATGGCGGTCGATGAGCCTGGGGCGACCAGTGCAACCGACGGACAAGCGAAAAGAACCCCAAAGAAGTCAAAACCAGCCAGGGAGTGGGGGACAGCCGAGGGACCGAGCGACTGAGGGGCGGTCGACGAGTCTGGGGCGACCAGTGCAACGGACGGACAAGCGAAAAGAACCCCAAACAGCCAAAACCAGCCAAGGAGTTGGGGACAGCCGCTAAGACAAGGCCCAGCCATCTGCCATCTTTTGCTTGCAGTTGCGGTGTTGCCGTTTTCTTGGGCGGCTTCGAACGCAGTCTATTTGAAGCACCTGCCTGCTCCATTTTTCGACCCACTTGTCCCGACCGGTGTGCAAAGCTGGCAGCCCCCCATGCCCCAGAGGTGCGTGTCGCCTGCTCCTCAGCCGAGACCGGTTTTCGCGCCTGTCTGCTTCTTCAATGTGTTTGCTTCTGTGGCTCCAACTTGTGAGGGCCCCGTCCCTGCAGCCAGAGACGCGAGGAGCGCGTGGAGCAACTTACTGTGCCGTTTTTAATACATGCTCCGCGTGCGGATCATGTATGAAACATGCAGGGTTTAGTATCAACAGCAACGATGAGTTCATGTATAAATTTATTCATACATTAATTATCAAAACAAGTGTTTTGAACATCCCATGTATGAAAAATTGCCCTGTACCAACTTCTGTGCCTCCGTCGCCGCCCTCGGGCTTTGCAAGCTTGACGTGCCCACCGCAAGCGCCGCGACGCCCATGGCGGCCGACGGCATTCTCATTCCAATCCCACTGCTTGCACTTCTGGCATGTGCGCCACCTAGAGTGAGCTGGCATGATTCAGGAGGGACAAAAACACACACAGACACAAGTAATCGTCGATCCCCCAGAGAATATATGAAAACATGGGACGTGTGGGGAAGACAAAAACCAAGAAAATATACGAACATATGGGCATCCTGTTTTGGGGGTCTATCTATTTGTGTGTGTCACAAGGCGTCTCCAAGGAAGGGAGGAGGGAGGAATAGGAGGTGGAGAAGGAGGGGGGCAAGAGGAGGAGGAGGAGGAGGAGGAGGAGGAGGAATAACACCCGTTACCCTCAGTGTCCGCCTGCTCCTCCTCCTCATCCTCCTCCTTCTCGGGTCTTCTGGTGGGACCCATACAGTGACAACGGCAGGCAACCCAGAGGGCTTCAAAGACCAAGAAAGGCTGAGCAAATTAGGTGTTCAATTTTTGCTCTGCCCGAGTCGATGCAGTCACCCGCCTTCCACTGGCGCGATATAGTCACCATCATCATAATCATAAGTATTGCCGTCAACACCACCACAATTACGAAATTGACATCAGCTGCATGATCATCACTACGATCGTCATGCTCACCCTCGTCAACATCGTCACCGGTATCGTCATTATCACTGCAAGTGTCCTCGCCCGCAGCAGCATTGCCATCACCATCGTGAGCCTCAGAGTCGTCAACATCATCGTAAACAGCATCGTCACAATTGTTCGAACCATCACCATCATCATCATCAGCATCATCATCATCATCATCAGCATCATCATCATCATCAGCATCAGCATCAGCATCAGCATCAGCATCAGCATCAGCATCATCACCCACATCACCACCACCACCATCAGCAGCAGCGTTTATCGCAAGCATCGTAGCATCTGTCAGCACGTTTGCCGCTACAATCACCACGGCCACCATCATCACCCTCACCACCCTCGTCCTCTTCCGAATGTCCAGGATCGTTATCATCACCCTCGTCGTGCCACAACCGTAGCTATCAGCCTCTCATGCCGGGTGCGGAACGGACCGCGGCCGGCGCGCGGCAGCCCGCGGGCGCGGTTGGCGCCACCTCCACCCCCTGCGCCAGGTGGGCGAGGAGTACGTCGCCGCCGTCGGGGTGAAGCCTGAGGACTACCGGCTCGGGGTCGCCCGGGGCGACCGCGAGGGAGAATGGCGCCAGCGTGGCGTGGTTCGAGAGAGGGCCTCGCCTGTGAGGAGCGAAGGAGCTGACACCTCCTCCCCGGCGGAAGGCGGCGGAAGGAGGCGATAGGCGGCGGAATGAAAACGAGGGCGGTTCCGTGGGCGGAAGCCAGCAGAAGACGGGCGGAAGTTGGCTGAAGTAAACATTCCCCCAAGAGTTGTCCAAATTTTTGGGTTCAGGGTTTCCAGGACCCTCCATGTATCTAGTCCTCCTAGATGGGGTCGGAGTAGATGGGGTCGCAGGATTGCGCCGCATCGCTGATGCATCGCTGATGCGGCTCGATGTGCAGCCCGATTTGCTTCACGTCGACGTCGACGATGCATCGCCGACGTCGACGATGCATCGCGGGTGCATCGCCGGTGCATCGCAGGCCTCTAATGTAGGTGGGGAGCAGCCCAGGGTGGGAAGCATCGAGCTGAAATCGGCGATGCGTCGCCGATGGATCGGCGACGGGTTCCCGACAGCGAAGCCGCGCATTCCTGGTGGGGGGCTATCAGGCCCCCGTCGGCCTGTCGGCGATGCATGGGCGATTTGAGGTCGATGCGTCTTCCCTTGAGCCCATCTCCCCCGAACGGTGCCCCTGAATCAGAAGGAGGCATGGGTCGCTGTGGAGCATCGCTGTGAAGCAAGCGGGCCGTCCGGGAATCGCGAGGTATTTTGAAGTGTTCGTCTGTTCATGTGTTCCGGTTCTCGTCTCGGGATTTTCTACAGCAGTTGTGCCTCTTTGGGAGCGTCCGCGGAGTGCCCGCACCGTCCCGAACCTCCTCGAATGGCTGATGCATGAGACTGAGAAGTCAATGTTATTCCCCATATCCTCACCATTGGGTTCTTGCTATTACTCCGACCGCGCCGACTCACTTACCCCTCTCTGCTTCCTCTAACTCATGTCATTGTATGTTATGTTATGTTATGTTGCCACATGTTACACCTATATTCAAAGGATGAAGTTATTGTGGTTACTCCGACCGCGCCGACTCCTTCCTCTCACCTCCCTCCTCCTCCTCCTTCTCATGTTATGGTATGTTATGGTATGTCATGACATGTCATGACATGTTCTGTTATCCGTAAGGGTTTCGCCCTCTGCCGTCGGCCCCCTCTCTCGGATAATGGGAAATGCAAGAGCGAAATCATGAGGCCTTGGCGCCGCCGTCAAGCTGCGTCGGGACTTCACGCGAAGACGATGAGCAATCGGCAAGACACATTGAGATTCTGATGATGTTGTTGGCTTCGGGGTCGCAAATATAGCCTAATTTACACAGGTTTATAGCTTCGGAGACGCGAATTTTGCATTATGTACCAGTGTCTATGGCTTCGGACACGCGATTGTTGCAAAATTTACAAGCGTTTATGGCTTCGGGATCGCAAATATTGCGTCATGTACGCAGATTTATTGTTTCGGGGACGCGAATATCAAGTAAATTTCAAACGTGTATTGCTTCGGATGCGCGAATATAGCGTATATTGTAAAAGTTGATGGCTTCGAGGATGCGAATGTGAAGTAAGTTTGCATTGTTTATTGCATCGGGAACGCAATTATTCACAATTTGCGAGAATGTTTATGGCTTCGGAGACGCGAATACACTGTAATTTAAGAGGGTGTATGGCTTCGGGGACGCGAAGACTGCATGATTTGAAAGCGTTTGTGGCCTCGGAGACGCAAGAATTGCATAATTTACGAGGGACACACATGTGGTGTATTTTGCGAGGGTGTACGGTTTCGGCCGAGGACTCGAATACCGAGTAATTTACGGGGGGGTATGGCCTCGGGCTCGCGAATTTAATGTATTTTTACGTGTCCCACGCCCCCCCCCCCCGAAATTCTGAGACCCTCCCGGGAAGTGCTATCCAGGGTGCTTTTCGACTCCCCCTCCCTCGCGCGGTCTACAACAAGGAACAGCAATACAACAAGAAGCAGAACTATCATTTTGGAACTTGGAACCTGCAACTGGCCCAGGGAGCAGCAAACCCTCGTCCTACAGTCTGGTGGCCACGCAATGAGACTGGCGGATTTTATGATAGGACATGTTCTTACATGCTATGTTCTGTTATGGTATGAAATCTTGTTCCCCATATCCAAAGGATGGGTTTCTCGTTATCACCCGTATCCACAGGATGTGGTTTTGTTATCACTCCGACCTCGCCGACTCCTCACTCCCACACCTCCCTTCTCCTCTGCCTTCTCAGGTTCTACTATGTTACAGTATCTTATGGTATAGTATGGCATGACAATGGCATGACATGTCATGTGATGAAATGGCGTGTTGTGGTATGGTATGGTATGGTATGATGTGCGGTGTTTGTTTTGCTACGTCATGTAATGTTATGTTGTACAAGGGCGTGTTATGTTATGGTATGGTATGACCTGTGTTGTTCCCCATATCCTAAGATGGGTTCCTTGTTATTCCCCATATCCAGAGGATGGGGTTCTTGCTATTCTCCGACGGCGCCGGACCACCCCTCCACCATGGTATGGTAAGAGTATGATGTGAGTATGATGGTGATGGTGAACGATGGATGAGTATGAGGATGATGATTATGATGATGATGATGATGATGATGATGATGATGATGATGATGATGATGACGATGAGCCGATGATGAGGATCTCTCGAGCAGCTTGCTGGTTTTAGCAGTCCTGAGAGGGGGCCGCCAAGGGTATTGCACGGCCTCCGTTCGCGCCAAAATGGTGGGAATGTCTCAGGCGGTTTGCCTGTTTTGGTCCTCGACATCCTCCGTTTTCGGAGCAGATGTTGAGGGTGTCTCGTGCGAGGCGCCTCCAAAGAGGGTGCCGCCAGGGGTATTGCACGGCCTCCGTTTGCGCCAAAATGGTGGGGATGTCTCAGGCGGTTTGCCTGTTTTGGTCCCCAGCATCCTCCGCTTTCGGAGCAGATTTGGAGGATGTCTCGAGCGAAGCGCTCATGTTCGCCCCCAGGGGGGCCAGATTTTGAGGATGTTGCTTGTTTGGATGGCCAGACTCGTGGGCACATGTTCTCCACAGGATGCCACAGGAGTCTCCAGCAGGCTTCAGGAGGCCCCAGGAGGCCACATGAGGTCCCAGGAGGCATCCGGAGGCCACAGGAAGATTCAAGAGGCCACAGGATGTCCCAAGAGGCTCCAGGAGGCCCCAGGAAACTCCAGGAGGCCTCAGGAAGCCACAGGAGGCCACAGGAAGCGCCAGGAGGCCCAGGCAACAGGAGGCCCCGAGAGGCCCCAGGAGCAGGAGGCCTCAGAAGGCAATAGGAGTGGCTCTAATCCATGTGGTTTACGTGTGCCCCTATAGATTAAGCCTCACCTGGAGCACGAATCCTGGATGGTATACGTTTGTTTCTATCTATTCTCCTTCTTTTGTGTGTACACAATCCTAAATGCTGTACGTCTGTTCCTGTGGATTGGGCCTCCCCTGGGGCACGAGTCATTGGTGTCTTACGTGTGCTCCTATAGACTGCCCTTCTCCTGCGGCTCCAATCCGCAATACTTTCTGTAAGTCTGTTCCTATGGATCGGGCTTCTCCTGGGGCACGAATCCTCCCAAGGAGGTCCCAGGAGGCCCCAGGATGCTCCAGGAGGCTGCGCGAGGTGACGCGAGGCTCCAGGGGGCACCAGGAGGCCACTCGAGGCCCCAAGAGGCCCCGGGTGGCGCCAAGAGGCCCCTGGAGGCCCCAGGAAGGCCCAGGAGGCCCCAGGAGTCCCAGGAGGCCCCAGGCTCATGCGCAGAGACGCGCTCGTACTACCGAGGCTCATTCACGTTCCAACCCGATCGGCGTTCGATTCATGACCAGACCGTCACAACTCAAGCCCGCTTATATTCGAAAACTCTCGCGCCTAGACTCTCACGGCGGACAGGTCCATGCGAATAGATGCACATATGGGGAGCTCCACGCAGTGAATAATTACTTGGACGCCTCCTACCCTTTCCTCTTCTTCTTCTCCTCATCATCATCCTCCTCCTCATACCTAGACTTTACTCATGCTCATATTCAGGCATGGTTATGTTTTCTTACTCAAACTCAGACCTGCTCATACTCATACCTACTCATACTCAGACTTACCCATGCTAAGATCCACGCATACCCAGACGCACTCATGCCCAGACCTTCTCATTGTCTGGTTTACTCAACACATATCAGGTTGTGAGGATGTCTCAGGCGGTGCGCTGGTTTCAGCACCCCTAAGGGGAGCCGCCGAGCGGTATTGCACGGTCCCGTTCGCGGCCGTGTTGTGGGGATGTTTCAAGCGGTTTGCTTGCTCTTTGCCTCAACATCCTTCACTTCGAGAGCAGGTTGTGAGGATGTCTCAGGCGGGGCGCTGGTTGCAGCACCCTTAAGGGGAGCCGCCGAGGGGTATGGCACGGTCCCGTTCGCGGCCGCTTTGTGGGGATGTCTCAAGCGGTTTGCTTGTTTTCTGTCTCAACATCCTTCACTTGGAGAGCAGATTGTGGGGATGTCTCAGGCGGGGCGTTGGTTTCAGCTACCTAAAGGGAGCCGCCAAAGGTGTTTTCACGGCTCCGTTCGTCGCCGTTCTGTGGGGATGTCTCTAATGGTTTGCTTGTTTTTTTTCCGTTGTTTCCCGAGTGGCTCTCCCCGTTGCGTACGGCGGTCAAGGAGGAGTGACCAGGTGTTGCTGGCGTAGAGCTTGTGTCATCGTGGGTTGTTGCTTTCTCTCTCCGTGGTGCTTTCCAATCTTGTCGCCGTCAGCGGGAGAGGGAACGTGAGAAGGTTCATTATCCCGCGTGCGTTTTGGGCTGGGGGGGGAACTTGAAACGCTTAATTCTCTAGCTGCGGGAGAGGGAACTTGCAAAGGTTCACTTTCCCGCTTGTGGCCCATACGGCTCATCTGGCTAGACATTCATCTACGCACCCCAAATGCAATGTTACCTTTAAGAAGGATGCGCAAATGGGGGGGGGGCTCCACGCAGTGATTAACTATCGTAGGTTCGTGCATGCTTTGCGATGCTCTGGTGGTGATGCTGACGAAGGATGTGAATATGATGAGACGGATGATGATGATGCTGAAAATGGTGATGACGACGATGATGATGGTGATGATGACGATGCTGATACTGATAATGCTGCTGATGCTGCTGATGATGATGCTGGCGGAGCAGAATTCGAGGATGTCTAGAGCAAGGCGCGGCTTTCAGCAGCCCCAAGGGAGAGCCGCCAGGGGGTATTGCACTCTTCCGTTCGCGTCAGAGTGCGGGGGGGTGTCTCAAGTGGTGTGCCTCTTTGCTGCCGCAGCATCCTCCCCCGCCGTAGCAGATTTTGAGGATGCCTCGAGCGACGCCCCGCCCCCCCAAGGGGGAGGGTGGGGGCGCCCCGTTCGCGCCAAACTGGCGGGGATGTTTCGAGTGGTTTGCCGGTTTGCTGCCGCAGCACCTTCCGCTTTCGGAGCCGATTCTGGAGATATCTCGGGCGAGGCGCTGGTTTGCGCAACGTTGGGGGCACACATTGTGTGGATGTCTCGAGCGGGTTGCTTGTTTTGCTGGCCAGACTCTCTTTGGGTTCAGCGCGGATTCTGAGGATGCTTTTGGTGAGGCGTTGGTTTCGACATCCCGAGGAGGCCTAGATTGTGAGGACGTCCCAGACTCACTGATGCTCAACCTCGCTTGTGCTTATCATTCATTTTCCGACTCGTACTCACAATATTCATACCCGGATTCACCCACACTCAGATTTACGCACGCTCAGGCTCACTCACACTTGGACCTACCCAACCTAAGACTCACTCGTAGTCAGACTCACTCGTATTCAGACCCACTCCGACTCAGACTTTTACTCATTATTTTGATACTCAGACTCACTCAGACTCAGGCTTACACACACACACACTCAGAACCACTCACACTCAGACCCACCCATTCAACCGTAGTCAGACTCATTTGTGTTCAGAGCCATTCAGTTTCAGACTCGCACTCATTAGACTCACACTCAGACACACTCACGCCCAGACCTATTCACACTACGACCACTCTTCATTCAGACTCGCTCATGCTCTGACTGACGCATTACCAGGCCCACTCGTATTCATAATCTCTCAGACCTACACTAGCTGGCACTCGCACGTCTACCGTTGATACATCAAGCACGTTTACATCCGAAAACCCTTGCGTCTAGACGCTCACGGCGGGCGGGTACATGCAAATATATGCACAGGGGGGAGCTCCACGCATGTCAGGGTATGTTAGGTTATGGCATGCTATGGTATGGTATGTTGCTTTCTGTTATGATGTTGCTGCTGCTGCTGCTGCTGCTGCTGCTGATGATGATGATGATGATGATGATGATGATGATGATGATGATGATGATGATGATTATGTTGATGCTGCTGCTGCTGCTGATGATGATGATGATGATGATGATGATGATGATGATGATGATGATGATGATGCTGACGATGGCGGATCATCTTCAGAGGAAGTCTCCGGCGAGGCTCGGGTTTCAGCACCCCCAAGGGGGGAGCTGTCAGGTGGTATCCCACTACTCCGTTCGCTCCAAAAGGGTGGGGATGTCTCGAGAAGGTTCACTCACATCCTCCGTTACCGGAGCAGAGTGTGAGGATGCCTCGATCGAGGCGTTGGCGTTCGCCCCCACGGGGGAGGGGGGGGCGCCAGGGAGTATTGCATTCCTCCGTTCGCGCCTAGATTGCGGGTATGTCTCGAGCGGTTTGCTTGTTGTGGTTCCTAACATTTTCCGCTTTCGGAGCAGATTCTGACGATGTCTCGGGCGATGCGCGGGTTTTCGCACTCCAGGGAGGGACATCTTGCGAGGATGTCCTGAGCGGTTTGTTTGTTTTGCTGGGCAGGCTCGTCTGCGCTCAGAGCAGACTCTTAGGATGTCTCGGGAGGGGCGGTGGTTTAGGCACCCCAAGGGGCCAAGATTGTGAGGATGTCCCAGATTTATTCATGCTTAACCTCACTCGTGCTCAGACCCACTCATACTCCGACTCGTATTCATTATACTTGTACTCAGACTCACTCACATTCAGATTTACGCGCACTCTGACTCACTCAAACTTAGACCCATCCACCCTCAGACTCACTTGTAATCAGACTCGCTCGCATTCAGAACAACTCAGATTCTCAGACTCTTACCTCCGACTCACTCACATTCAGGCTTACACACATTCAGAATCACTCACATTCAGACCCACCCATCCACTTGTAGTCAGACGCATTCGTACTCAGACCCATTCAGATTCAGACTCGTACTCATTAAATTTCGCTCAGACCCACTGACACGCAGACTGACCCACACCCAGACCACTCTCACTCAGACTCGTTCATACTCTGACTTACGCAATCTCACTCAATTACGACGTTGCTTAATTTCGTTTCGGCTGGCGCGCTTGAGGAGGATGACCCAGGAAAAGGGGAGGGCGGCGACGGCCCAGGAAAAGAGAGGGAGCGGCGACGGCGACAGCGACGACGACGACGACGTCGACGAAGGCGAGTCAAACGGAACAGCCCCTTCCACACGCCGATGGGGTCCGCCGATGTCATCACACAACCTCACAAAACGTCTCGAGATGATCCTCCAGGGCAGGGGGGGGCGACCATGCGCATGTGTTGTCCCCGTCAGGTTCTACTTCGATCGGACCAGTCCGATTCGATTGCGGTTTCGGCCGTCCTTCGCTTGGCTCGATTCCGAGATTTCCGCGATCCGCTACGGCCCGATGTTCGCATGGGGCTTCTGTGCTCCCGGGCGTGGCCCCGTGCCGAGGCTGGGGAAGCCACAAGGTACTGATACCGCTGCTCCCCGGACCTCTCCCGGGGTGCGTGCTGACCAGAATTTCGAGGCGAATCCAGCGGTGGCGACGAGGGCCGCCCAGGAGGCCCAAGAAGAGGATAACGAGGCAAGGGTACTCATTGTTCATTTCTAAGTTCTTTGATATTTTTGGGGGGTAAGATCCTTTCATTTCTAATTGTTCTATCCTGGGCGTTTCCCTGGCCACTAGGGGGCCAGGAACAATTAGAAACGAACACACTTAGAATGAGCACGATTAGAAATGAACGACGGGTACCTTTTCCTCCTCCGAGAGGTGGCCCGGTCCCACACACATTCTGATCCGAGCTGGTGTGTCGATCCGATGCCGGCGGATGCTGCCTGCGCTGCCCCCGTGCCGCGGGTGGGCCGCCAGGTCGAAAAGCACAGGGAGGTGCTGGCCCGCCTCATCGTGGCGGCGCTGGTCATGTCCACGTCCGTGGGCACGGAGGATGACCGCGCGCGCTCCTCTCGGAGGGTGATGGGGGGCGAGGGAGGAGGGGGGCAGGAGGGATGGGGGGGGGGGAGGAGGGGGGGAAGAGGGGGGAGGGAGGGGGGGGGGGGGGGGGGGGAGGGGAGGAGGAGTGCAGGAGTGCAGGCCTCTCGACACCGTCCGTCGACCGAGCGGCGCGGGGAGCCCCAGACGAGGGCCGAGGAGGCGTCCAGAGCTTCAGGTCGGACCCCGGGCTCAGGGCGCCGAGGGACGTCGGCGGCGGACAGCACGCGAGCATCCGGTCCGCCTCGAGCACCCTCGTGGGCGTGCTCCCCCGCGGCCGCCACCCCGAGGCCGCGGCCCTGGCAGACCCGCCGCCCGCGCACTTCCGTCTCCGCTGGCCGCCGCGCTCCGCGGCGGCGTGCACCCCCCGTCTTGGGGCGCCTGCCCGGAGCAGCCGCTGCTGCGGCCGCGAGCGCAGGTCGGCCGAGGCAGGGCCTCCTCGCCGCGGCCCTCGGCCGTGGGCCGCCCCCGGCGAGGCGCCCGTGGGCCCCGAGGCGTCCCCGGCGCCAGGCCGGGCCGCGCACGCCTCGCAGGAGGCGGGGGGGGTGCAGCGCGTCGCCGCCGATGCCCCTTCGCGTCCACGCAGCCGTCGCCCAGGGCCCAGCGCTTGGCCAAGAGCTCCCCGATGTCGCCAGGGGCGCGGCGCCGCGCCGAGGGCCTCCGTGGCGAGCTGGCCAGCGGCGGAGCCGAACACCGCCACCATGCCGAGGTGCTGGAGGGCCGCCCCCGCCGTCAGCTGCGAGAGCTCGGTGTCCTCGGAGGCGGCCCGCAGGAACTGCGCCCAGGTGGGCCCCTCCAGGTTGGCCGTCGACTTGCAGCAGCGTCGGCAGACGGCCTGGCCAGTACACAGGCGCACCAACTGGTGGCACATGATCGCCACCGCGGGAGTCTTCGCAGGCTCTTCGCACGAGGCGAAGCGGTCGGCGGGCTCCCACTTCACGATCTTCAGCGTGCGTTGCATGGCCCACACGACGTAGGCTGCCACCTTCTTGTGGTACTGGACCCCCACCTTGACGAAGTCCTCGTAGACCTTCGACACAGTGTGCTACAAGGCGCCCTGCTTGGCGAACCAGTCCGCCCTCACGTTGCTCGCGTACAGTGCATGGTGGAGCCCACGCCGCAGGAAGTCGTCCAGCTCCTTGTGCGCAGGCACCCACAAGACCCGAGGGCGATGCGGCTGTGCACGGAGCCCTCGCCACACGGCGGCGTGTGCTGCGCGGGCCTGCTCGAGAGAGGCAGCGCGCTTCACCCTGCAGTGCCAGCAGGGCGGCCACCACGGAGCCGACCCCGTCGCCCAGGAACCGTACCGCACCCAGCAGCGCGTGCCGCTCCGCCCTGCCGACGGGCTGCAGCGGCCCCGGGAGGGGCCCGAACGCGGCCCACGGGGGCAGCCTCTGCGGCGACAGCTGGGCGAACGCCCATCCGCAGCGTCGCAGCTCAGGGAGGCTGGCCGCGAAGCCCGGCTCGTCTGTGACGGCTACGTTGCCGCGCAGCGCCCTCAGGGCAAGGCGGCCCCAGCCGCCCCAGCACCGGACACGCGCCTCCCCGCTGGCCAGCTGGACCTGCGACGGCGAGCACGGGATGCAGACCGAGAGCTCGGAGTCGTCCAGGCAGGGCGCCCCACCGGCCGCCTGGCGGAGGCCCTTGTCGTTCATGCAGGCCCAGAGGTCCTGGTGGCGCTCGGGCAGGACCCATCCACCCTCCCCACCCAGCTGCGCAGGTTCCAGCAGCTCGTCGCGCCCGAAAGAGGCCGTGACCAGGCGCTTCGGAGACGCGACCACAAGCCCTGCAGGCAGGCGAGGCGGCCGGCCTGACGTCGAACTTCGCCTGCCTCGTCCACGGCAGGCCGGACCAGTGAGTGCGCAGGCTGATGACCACGGGACCTCCTGGAACAGCAGCTCGAGGCCCACCCGCGCCGAACCGCGGCGCGCGGTTCCGGGCGTGGGCCGTGCACCCGTCCGGGTGTTGGCAGCGTTTGGGGATCTGGCGGCGCTGCCAGCGCGCGATGCACATGACGAGGCGGCAGCGACAGTCCGCTGGGCTGATCATCGGCAGGCTGAGGTGGCGCACCTCGTCCGCGACGACCACCGTGGACGAGTGCACGTGCCGCCCGATGAGGGAGAGCACCGCCGAGGCGACGGGGCCCCTGGCCTCGGACCAGCTGGCCTCGTGGACCAGCCCAGCGGTGGCAGCCGCCCAGACCCCTTTGGCGTACCGCGCGAGCAGACCGCAGGTGGCCGAGCAGACCGGGTCGCGCTCCTCGGCCCGCTGCGCGGCCGGGCAGATCGCCGCGCCGGAGGGCCCAGGCCCGGGCCCGCCTCGCGGCGCAGCTTGCCCGAGGTGGAGTCCGCGATGCCCGGCGCCCCAGCTCCGTGGGCAGCGCCGGTCACAGGGGCGCCGCTCTCCTGCCGACCGTCGTCTTGAACGGCAGCAGGCGCCCCCGCCGAGCGACCCGCGCCGGAGTGCGAGCAGGCGTCCGGCGTCGAACCGCGCGGCGCCGGCAGAGGTCGTGGCCGAGGTTCTTGACCCACTGCTTGGCTGACAGACCTCGGGCCCCAGCCCTGCGCCTGCATCCCTGGCGCGGCCACCGCGCGGCCGCCGCCGAGGACGTGGCGCAGCCCGGAACCAGGTGCCGGCCGCCCGCAAGCGAGTGATCTGGCTGGCTTCGGTGCCGGTCCACTGCGGGATGACGTCGTCTGCCAGTGCTCTTGGCACCACTCCGAGCTCGCGCGCTATCCAGCAGCCTGCCGACCAGGAGCGACACCATGGCGCAAGCGTGCGCGCAGCCAGCGAGGGCGCCCTGGAACGCGGCGACCTCGGCGGAGACCGATCCGAATGCCCGCAGCCCTTGGGCTGGCGATACAGCTGCTGCAGGATCCAGACAAGCCTCAGCGGCATGCCCATCAGGCGGGCCTCCGTGAGCAGCCCGATGGGCTTGAAGGTCTCGAAGAACTTCATGCGTCCATCAGCACTGCGAGCACCTTCTCGTCCCAGCATTCGGCGATCTCTTTCTCGCGGTTGAGGTCGAGCGCCGAGTCAGATGACGTTCGTCCCGCACCCCGGCCCCAGATGTCGGCGCTGGGGTTGTCCCGTAGCCACTGCCTAGAGACGGAACTTCTGGCCTTGGCCCACCATCGCACCAGGGTATGCGTCTGGGTGATGAGCTTGCAGCCGCCTGAGGCCATGGGTATCCTGCATATCTTGTGGCAGATCCGCCCATCGGGCCAGGCACCCAATCCCTCGCAGCACATGGGGAGGGCCGCCACCACGAACGCGCCGACGTCGGACAAGTGCACGAACGCTCGCGCGCCGATCTTGGCTGGGCCGACCGCGGTGGCGCGGGGGGAACTCGGCGCCGTCGCCTTCATCGCCTCCACCGTCAGCTCGGGAAGCGCTGTCCAGACCGCGATGTCGGACGGCATCGGCAAGCGCTCGAGCTGGTAACACCCCCAGACCCCCATCTCAGGTCTTCATTTCCTTGTCGCCATCGCGTTGCGGGCTGGCGATGTTGCCCTTGTCCCGCCAAAAGGTCGTGGTTCTTGGTGGCGCGGTGGGCTCGTCCAGGCCCCATTGACGAAGCTGTCCTGCGCCCATCGCTCCTATGCTTTCTGTTTGTGCTCCACTGCCTCGTCATGGTCGCAGCTGGCGCACTCCGCGACGCCGCCCGCCGCCTTGACGAAGACGTCGCGGGGAAGAAGACCCTCATGCCCTCAAGACAGAAGTCTTGCACCCACTGCGGCAGCATGTGCATGGCCCCGTCGTTGCACCAACCATGTCGCAGTAGGTGCCAGCCCCCGGCGGGATCGGTCCGAGGACGGATCGCACGCCAGGTGCGACCGCTGCAGTTGCCGCCACGCCTTGGCGACGCATGCGCCGACCCCCGACGAGCGCGCCGCGCCCGCGTCGGCGCAGCTCAGCAGGCAACCGCGAGCGGCCCGAGCCGCGTCCTGAGGCTGGGCGGGCGCCGCCCGACAGGAACCGGGGCCGTCTCTGGAGCACCAGACCCGCCGACGCAGCGGCCCCTGTCGGAGCCGACCTCGTCGCGCACGTCCAGCAGCTCTCGCCCCGCCGCGCCGAGGGCCGCGCCCCGCGCGGCCGCGAGCGGCTCCGCCGAGGCCACCGCGCGCGCCCTGGCGAGGGGCCCGGCCCAGCCCCCGGCCCTCCGGGCGCCTGCGACGGGCGGTGCCGCGGGGGCCAGGCGCGGAGCGCGTGGCGCCCTATGACTCTCGAGCTGAGCTCCTGGACGAGGAGGAGGACGAGGAGGAGGACGAGGAGGAGGAGGACGAGGAGGAGGACGAGGAGGAGGAGGACGAGGAGGAGGAGGAGGAGGAGGACGAGGAGGAGGAGGAGGAGGAGGAGGAGGACGAGGACGAGGACGAGGACGAGGACGAGGAGTAGGCGAACGGGCAGGCGCGGAGCTCCGGCGCCCCCCTCGTGGACCGTCGGCTCGCGGAGCCCGCTGGCCAGGCTGGCCGCGGCGAGGAGGCGGTCGACGACCGTGGCGCTCTGGACCTCGGGGGCACGGGCGGTGGCCCTGGGCGCCGCCCGCGCCGACCCCGCGGGCCCAGTCCTCGGGGATCTTGTCCACAGTCATGTTGAAGCCCCCGCCTGCGACCCAGCCGTGGCCAGCGGCGGCTGCCAGCTTCGCCAGGTGGTGCATCAGGGTGAGCAGGGTGGCCTAGTTATGTTCATTCATGCTTGTGCTGCCGAACCAGTAAACCGGCGGCAGGACCAGCCCGCCGCCGCGAGTCGACCCTCAACTAAGACGGGCGTCGCAAGGGAGAGCGGGGCCGTGGCCATCATCGAAGTCTTAGCCAGCACCTTCGCATCGACGACGGGGCCCCCGATGGCGATCAGGCTGCCCGCGTGTAGCCCAGCACTCGGGCCGCACAGTCGCCAGCTTCGCATCCTCGCGGACGTGGTGCTTCCGGGCGAGGATAGCACTGGTGGGGCCCGTCGGCGCCCCGAAGCACGGCGCGCTTGAGCCCTGGGACGCGACGCTCGTGGTGGCGGCGGAACCCTTCGCCACTGCAGCCACACAGCTCGTGCCCATCGCCTGCGCCTCAACCAGGGGCGAAGCCGCCCTCGGCGAGCATCTTGCGCCTCTCACGCAGGTTCGCCCGGTCGTAGGTGGGGCCGGACCTGGCCATGGACCCCTGGAGCTGCTCGACGGACTGGCCACACCCCCAGCCGGCCTTGTGCGAGCCCGCGTGCTCGCGGCCAGCTCGGCGGCCTGCTCGCGCATCGCCGCCGCTATCCGTTGCTGCGCCTCCTCGGGCACGGATTCCCTGCCGGCTGGGTGGGCCCCCAGCTGCATGCCCACGACGGAGGCGAGCTCGCGCAGCATGGGGCCGAGCCCACTGGCCAGGTCGTCGGCCATGCGTTCGCCAGGCTGCCGCGGTGAAGGGACTGCGGGCTGCAGCAGATGCAGGTCGATGCGTTCATGCTCGAGCTCGGCCTGCTGCGCGGGGAGCCCCGCGTGCGCCGCCTTCCTCCTCTCCAGCTCGCGCTTCGCCGCCTCCACAGCTTCGCGTCATCGTGGTGCTTGGCCGCCTTCTCCAGCTTCTCCGCGCACTGCTTGGCCCTGTGGGCGATGACATGCGTCCTCACGTGTAGCGGCTCGCTGGCGAACATCTTCTTCTTGCACGCCTTGGGCTCCGCTTTGAGCATAGCCCGCGCGGCGTGGACGCAGGGGCTGGTGCAGTCCTCGAGCATGTGCAGGTCGGCATCAAGACGCTTGATTTCGACCGGGAGCCCCGTGTCGCCTCCCTCGTCGACAACCGTGGCGGCGGCCTCGTCGCCCCTCTCTGTGTGACCAGCGCCAGGGCGCCCGACCTGCTTCTTGAGCGAAGCAGTCTCCGTGGTGGCCGCCGCGACCTGCACCCAGGCTGACTTTGATGAGCCTGTTGTCCACCACCACCACCACCACCATAAGTTGGAGGGGGAAGCAGGAGGAGGGGGAGGAGAAGGAGCAGGAGAAGGAGGAGGAGGAGGAGGAGGAGGAGAAGGAGGAGGAGGACCCCCCCTCCAACTTCTGGTGGTGGTGGTGGTGGACAACACGCCCAGCGGGCCTGTCCTCCTCCCGTCCGGGGCGGCGACGCCCCTGAGGCGGCCGCGCGCTGGGAGGGCGGCCAGAGAGCGATGACACCGTGGCCGCCGAGGGAGGCCTGCAGCCGGTGCAGCCAGGGCAGCCCGGGCACTCGAGGCTCGTGCCCCCGTCGACGAGCGGCCGCAGTCCTCCTCCTCCTCCCCCTCCTCCTCCTCCTGCTCCTCCTGCTCCTCCTCCCCCTCCTCCTGCTCCTCCTGCTCCTCCTCCTCCCCTCCTGCTCTCCCCTCCTCCTCCTCCTCCTCCCTCCTGCCCCTCCTCCTCTCCTCCTCCTCCTTCTCCTCCTCCTCCTCCTCGTCCTCCTCCTCCTCTTCCTCCTCCTCCACCTCCTCCTCTCTCCTCCTCCTCCTCCTCCTCCTCCTCCTCCTCCTCCTCCTCCTCCTCCTCCTCCCCCTCCTCCTCCTCCTCCCCCTGTGGTGAATCAACAATGAGCCGCGGATCTGATGGCCTTTGACTCATCCCGCCACCGTAACGACAGAACAAGTCCTGTCTCGCCTTCCGCTCCGAAGAGCCCTCCGTCGCAGCGCATTGTGCGGAGTGGCGCCGGGAACGAAGGGAACCAATGGAAGATTGGCAGCGGGTCAGCGGTGTCCATTTGTTCCCTTGTGGATCTCATAGTCTTGAGCCAAGGCGGCTGCGGAGGCGCGAGGAGGAGGAGGAAAAGGAGGAGGAGGAGGAGGAGGAGGAGGAGGAGGAGGGAAGGAGGGTGCATGCAGGTGCTCCTGTTCACTGTGGAATGCGCTCCCTTGAAAGATGAACGCCCCATGTGCCATGGGCCATGGGCATGCCGTGAGGACCTCAGGAGAAAGGGGACAAGGAGGAGACACACGACGGAGGAAGAGGCGGCGGAAGAGAAGGAGTGAACGAATACGAGGGGTAGGAGAGGGAAGAGGAGAGGACGAGAAAGCGCAGGAGGAGGAGGAGGAGCGAAGAGGAACCAGGAGGAGAAGGAGGAGGAGGAGGATCGACTACACGTGAGAATGACCCTTCGTCGGAAAGACGTGTGACGAGAAGGATCGACTACACGTGAGAATGACCCTTCGTCGGGAAGACGTCTGGTGCAGGCCCACGGGCTGGGGCTCCCCGATCGCCGAGCGCCAGACGTCCCGACCCCTCTTCCAGAGATGAGCCTTGAGTCATCCTGAGAGCATTTGGCGGTCCTCTGGCCACGCGAGAGCCACAGCAGGAACATCACAAGCCGCCTCCCGTCGTCGTCTCCTCAGGGTTGGATGAAGATGGAGGATTATGATCTTCCAACCTATTTAAGCCTCGACCACCATCATTAATTTCGAGCATCATGAAATAAGTACTGGAACTCATGGGTTTTCACCTGTCGGGCCCCGGGAGACACTCGTCCGACACTGTTTCGACACTCTTTCGACACTTTTCCGGGTGCTCGACACTAGTTCTGGGGTGTGGCCCTTAAGTGCGATGTGAGCAACATAAACGGAGGATCAAGTCACCCATCGTCCTCAACGCGGACTGGCGAAGCCGGCCAGGCTCCCTGCGCATCGGCAGCTTGGATCTCTGGGGCGATTCGTGCGCACGGGCGTGCAGCGCAGACCCAGCCCATCATGTGGGAGGGAGGAGGAACGAGAGGGAAGGTGAGGGGTGAGGGGGCAGGGAGGGGAGGGAGGAGGAGGGAGCAGGGAGGAGAAGAGAGAAAGGAGGAAGACGAGGGAGGAGGGAAGTGGAGGAGGAGGAGGAGGAGGAGGAGGAGGAGAAGGAGGACGAGGAGGAGGAGGAGGGAGCAAGGAGGAGGAGGAGGAGGAGGAGGAGGAGGAGGAGGAGGAGGAGGAGGAGGGGGAGGAGGGAGGAGGAGGGAGGAGGAGGGAGGAGGAGGGAGGAGGAGGAGCAGGAGGGAGGCAGGAGGGGAGGGAGGAGCAGGAGGGAGCAGGGAGGAGGGAGCAGGGAGGAGAAGGGAGAAAGGAGGAACTCGAAGCTCGGCGGGCGCCGCCGAGCCGCCCAGAGGAGCAGGCCGACCCTGGCGGCCCCCTGATGGGCGTGCAGTTCAGGATGGGGCTCCTGGGGAGTGCCAACTCCCCCCATGCTCCAGCCCTTTATTCCCTCCCCGCCTCTCCCCGTCCATCCCTGCCTCCTCCCCTCCTCCTCCTCCTCCTCCTCCTCCTCCTCCTCCTCCTCCTCCTCCTCCTCCGACCCCAAGGCAGAGGTCGGCGGGCTGGTGCAGCACCCGCGCGGCGCCCTGGGGGAACTTGAGCCTGCATAAATCTACCCCTAGTCGGGGGGGTAGTGGGTGCTGTTCGCTAAACGGCCCGGGTTCGCCGCCCGGGCGCCAGTCTCAGCACTCGGGTCACCCCGCACCCACGGAGGTCGGGGGAGGCTCATGGCGCGTGCCACCTGGTCCCCCTTGGGCAAGGGGACTTGGGGGGGTGGTCCTGGGCACCGCTAAGTCTCGCGCCAGGGGACCCACCTGGCGGCCGTGGGTGTTCCAGAGTCCCGACCTGCAGAGCAGGCGGAGGCTTGGGCGGAGGTGGTGGAACCGTCGGGCGCAAGGGCGCCGACCTGAGGCGGCCAGAGGACCGTCCTGTGGCTGAGCTGTGAGGCGACGTAAGACTTAGCATCTGTAATTTTCTGCTGTGGGCGGCAAGGCCCGCCGTAGGTTCCCCCAGAGAAAAGCGGCACGAGCTGAGGCCGCTGGCCCACCTCGCCTTGGGCGCGCCGCCGCGCGCTCGGCTGAGGCGCCGAGACCAGGGGCGCTCACTTGTGGGCGCGGGCGCGCGGGTTTAAAACAACTCCTCCTCCTCCTCCTCCTCCTCCTCCTCCTCCTCCTCCTCCTCCTCCTCCCCTCCTCCTCCTCCTCGCCCCCCCCCCCTCTTTCCCCCTCCTCCTCCTCCTCTCCCACCCCTCCCGCTCCATCCCTCGCCCTTCCACCTTCCTCCTCCTACTCCTCCTCCCTCGTCCTCCCTCCTCCCTCCCGCCCCCCCGCCCGCGTCCGCTTGGGCTCGAGCTCCCTCCGCAGGCGCCCCCCGGGCCCAGCCGCAGCGCGCCCGATGTCGGCGGCGACGGGGGCCCGCGCCGCGGCGCTCGAGGCGGCGGGCGGCGCCTCCGCGGCGCACTCGGCGGCCGGGCTGACAACGGGCTGCCTTGAGCTCCGCGCGGCCTCTCGCATGCTCGGGGCGGCCGAGGGCATTTTCCATGCCGTTGTAGAACGGCGCGCGCGCGGGGCAGGGCGTGGCCGAGTGCACTTCGAAAACTGCATCGTGACAGCGAGCTGTGTCGCTTGCATTGTAGGCCTCGGTAGGAGACCCCATCTTGGGAAGCATAGATGTTTCTTATTGAGCGCGCGCGACCTGTGACCCACTTCAGGGGGGTCCACCCCAGTTTTCGGGTTACCCGCCCTGGGGTGGGTCACCGAGCGCGCTCGCGCGCACGCGTGCTCGCAATGAGACACATTTGTCTTGCTTGATAGGGTATCATCTCATGTTGAGGCCCAGAATACACGTGACGCAGTTCGTTTGTTGCATTCATTCTTCGGGTGGCCCACCCTGTGGTGGGTCCCCGAGCGCGCGCGCACTAAGAAACGTATACCGTAGGGCCTCTTGGCAATACAAGCGTGTCCTCTAATGTTGAGGCCCACACTTCAAGTGAAACACTTTGTTTCCACCACCCAGTTTGCAAGGTGGCACATGCCATCCGCACGCGCGCGCAATGAGACACGTAGAACGGTTCATCAGATCGCTTCGTGCCGATGCAAGTGCAACGCTTGGTTTTCACTGTTCAGTTTTTCGGGCTGTCGCGTGTTACCCGCGCGCACGCAACAAGAACAACGCATTGCTTCACAATGTCAGATATCATGTCTAGGCGTAGACTACTAACATGAAACACAATGGGTTTTTTCCATGCAAGTTCCGAAATAGAGTTGGACATGTCGTGTTGATTTTCGCGCTGCGCGCGCGCCTACAGGGTGGGCCACCGATAGCGTGGCGAAAGCGTGGTGAAAACCAACCTGCTTTCTTCCTCCCTGTCTCTGCTGTCGAGTCATCCCGTCACCTTCCCCTTTCTCTTCCTCCTCCTCCCCGAGCGGTCCCCCTTCGTTTTTACGGCGAAGCACTACTACGATACAGCCGCGGACTATTACGATTTGTCCACTGCTATTGTCTCTGCTCAGATACCACTGTTACTGCGACTACTATAGTTACCGCGCCGACGGCGACGAGTACTACTAGGTAAGGGGTCGTTCCCTGTGTTCTCAACCAAACCTAACAACATGCTGCGACGATGGCGAGAACGAGCTTGTTTCTTGCACGCAAACTTGAGGTCTTCCTACGCCTGGCTTCGCCAATATTGACAAATGGTACTTATATGTGAGAGTTCTCTCGGAGTCATCGTGCACCGTTTCGGGCCATCCTGGGCACTCTTGATACCAGGGCGGGAGGGGATGCCTCCAATACAAAACAAAATGACTTCCGGATGGCGCACACTAGCTCTAGCACAGAACATTAAGGACGCAACAAACCTGAACCCGCATATTCCCTGAGGTATCGTCCCATACTACTGGGGCCAGCGCCGCTCGGAACCTCCAAGACGGCATAGCATGGCCTCCAGAATTGCACGAGACAGCCCAGGTAACGAGCACAACCGAAACAAGCATCAACAAGGAATGGCCCTCGTGTTTACGTATTTCTACATTATATTGTACACGGCGCCGCGTGCTCGAACACAAAATGGCATCCTAGATTCTAGATGGCACAGCGCAGCCAAAGTTAGCAACACAGGCAAGCAAGGCAGAGGTTTTGATAACCAAATGAACCTTCAGATTTCCCCAAGAAGCTAAGCATTCTGCTTGACCCAACACCGCGTGCTCGAGCACAAGATATCCTCTAATCTGTTTTCATGAACGCAGTCGGAGAAAATCTCATGGCAACGCTGCCTCGAACGTCGCATCGCACTCACGAGGCGGGTGTGCAACCAGCGCGCCGGGCACAGAAATGCACCGAGACGCACAAACACTTGGAGGCACTTGCGATCTGTTTGGGATGCGTCTACAGGTTGTTGGGTGGTCTGGCGGGGCTTGTCTTGCAGGCTGGCTTGGGGGAACAAGTTTTCTCTCCCCATAAAAGAACTGACACATACTGCTCCACGCTAGCCTGCAAAACCAACCCCGCCAGCACACCAACAACACAGACGTCTCTTAGAAATCACGTAAGTGGTTCCACGTGTACATGCGTGTCGGTTTCATGTTGTGGCGTGTGTGCTGGCGGTGTCCTCGTGGTGTGCCTGCGGCGTTGCGCGTGCGAGCGTGCATTTCCAGTGGCAACGTCCTTGCAAAAACCATTGTTCTGCATCACGACACGAACACTTTCATCTCATGCGCATCAGAGCTGCCCCCAGCGTCAATCGTTAGAATGTGCGACGAGACACGGTTCGAACCTTTTTGACAGGGCTTCCGTTTTTTTAACACGAGTTGAACAAGGGCCCGCCGCTAGCGTCAGAGGGTCCAGCCGCACGCGTCAGCGCTCTGCCGTCTGCTTGGTGCGCTCCGCCTCGACGCTGCGCGCGGGGCCGCGATCGGCAAAAAGTGTGTCTGTGTGCGTGTCTGTCTGTGTGTATCCGTGCGTGCGTGCGTGCGTGCGTGTGTGTGTGTGTGTGTGTGTATCCGTGCGTGCGTGTGTAAGTGCGTGCGTGCGTGCGTGCGTGCGTGCGTCTCTGTGTGTGCGTGCGTGCGTGCGTGTGTGTGTATATATGTTTGCGGGGGCTCGGCCTTCCGATGCGCGTGCGCGCCCGCTTCTCTCACCTTTCTACGCCCTGTCGCTGCGCGCGGGGCCGCGGCGCCAAACAGTGTATATGTGTGTGCGTTTGCGCGTATGTGTGTGTATGTGCTCAGGTCCGCGACCGTATCATGGCGTGCATGTGTGTATGTGTGCGGCCTCCCCTTGGCAGGCCCACGCTGTCGGACCTATTGGCTGCCGCGTCTCGGCACTGCGCTCGCGTCCTTCTGATCCCCACCTCGGGTGGTTTCGCCGTGGCGGCACCCCAGCTGGCCCGCACTCGCCCCAGCTCGTGCTGGGTCTGCTTCCCATTCGGCCCCTCGCCTGGAGGTAGTCCGTTCCAGTCGGCCTTTCGCAGGTTGCCTCGTAGGCCACCTCGCTGTGCTGCTTTCCCTCCAGCTCTCATTGGGTCTGTCGCTTCCCCCCTGGGCGCTTGCCCTTGCGGCGGCCCCTGCTGCCTGCCTGCCCCCCCGCTGCTGCCCCGCCTTTCCTTAGGACCCCCCAGCACTGAGTGGTCCGGCGTGGCCGTCCCCCCCAGGTCGCCTCGCAGGTCATCCGGACCTCGGCACCTTGGCTGGCCCACGCCGCTCTCGCCCCGCCTGCTGGGGCTACTCCCCCTGCTCCCCCGACTCCTCGCCTGAGGTGGTCTGCTCCGGCTGTCCGCTCTGTGTTGTTTCCGCCTCCAGCTCGCGCTGGTCCTGCTGCCTCCCCCCTGGGCGCATGCCTTCTGGCTGCCTGCCCCCATGCTGCTGCCCTGCCGCCGCTGCTGGCCCCCGGCCCCGGCGCCCGCCCCGCCGCCGCCTGGCCCTGCCCTGAGCGGGCCCAGCTTCCGTTTCCCTCCCGCCTGCGCTGGGCTCCTCTTCTCTTCCCCCGCGCAGTGCGGCTTCATTCGCGTTCCGCGTGTCCCACGAATGCTGCGTCGCCAGTGCAGTCCTTCTGCCTGGGCCGCGGACGCCCAACAAGAATGAACATGCGTGCGGCCCCGCGGAGGTGAGGCTACCCGTGGGAGTATCATCCGTTTCCTTGTCCCATGGAGAGCTCCTGGGGGGGAGGAGTTTTCGCGGGCGGCCTCAGAGCGAGGCCGGCCTGCGCCCGTCGCGCGTAGGGGCGCCGGGCCGGCCTTCGATGGCCGTGCAGTGGACCTGCTGCTGCCATCGCCCGCCAGTAGTGGACTACCTTTGCCGTGTAGTTTCCCCCCTTTCCCTCCGCGTGTCGGCCGCAGGCCGCCATCGCCGGCACGACCTTCCGCTCGCTCGCCCGCCTCCTCCCCCTTCCTATTGCTCCTGCATTATCCTCCTTCTCCCTCTTCCCTCGTCCATACTTCCTCCCTGCCTCCCTCCTCCTCCTCCCATCCTTCTTCCCCTCCTCCCCGCCTCCTGCACTGCTCTCGGCGCACCCCCCTGGCCACGCAAACGCGTGCGCGATAACGGCGGCACTATGATACTGCAGTGGGTTTAGAAGAAGTCCTCCTGCATCCGGCAAAGCCGTCACAGAAGCCTCCGAAGCGCAAGACTTTCTGTGGTCTGGGGGCCCCTACCGTGCCACAGGATCTTCCAACAACCATACTCACGATGGAGAGCCCGTCCCAGGAGTGGTCTAGACTTCCTGAGGGCCGCCTCCCCCGCCCCACCTCTTCATGTGCGCACCGCCGATCCTCGGGACAGCCCTGGGGCCTGGAAGCGAAATCGGGGCGCCGAAGATGACGAAACACGTCGGCGCGACGTTTGCTTGAACCGCTATACTTTTGCAGTCGACGGAGGTCCCTGGAGGTCCCGAAGGTCTCCAGAGATCCCCTTGGGAGTCCTGGCTTGGAGGCCTTCTGAGGTATCACGGGTTCAAAAAAAAGGTCCAAGTATAACTCCTGAGATACAGGCGCTGCAATTCGTGACACCTTGACTTTTCCTTACGCTTCGGCCCCAGGGTCCTCGCGGGTCGAGAAAGCCACAGAACAAAGTGGCGAAGGCGAAGGCTTTGGCCGTGATTATCCATGATGGCATTTACGCGACGTCTGGTCTAAGGTCAAAGGATCTCGATTTTCTGAGAAACATCCCAAAGCTTCCTCTATCCCTCCCCATCTTTCCCCGGCTATCTGAAGCCCCGCCCGAGGCTCCATACTGGTCCGGTCGTCGCCGGCGTAATCGGGCAGAAGCTGCCCAGGTTCCGCCTGTTCGGCGATACCATGAACACCGCCGCCAGGACCTCTAAGGGTCGATTCCGCCATCGGATAAGCATGAGCAGGGAGGAGGAGGAGGAGGAGGAGGAGGAGGAGGAGGAGGAGGAAGCGGAGGAGGAGGAGGAGGAGGACGTCCTTTCGCCGCGAAGCATTCGCGACGGGGATTTGTTCTACACATGTTCTACAACGAGGCCCCTGATGGGCCCCAGGATTGTGGAGCAGCAGTTTGGATGAAGGGCCAGTCCCATGGAAGGGTTCCGAACCCTTGGGGGTCCACGTTTCTCGAAAATCACCTGTCAGAGATTTGGGGAGCAGGAAGGAGCCTTAGGAAGAGGCAGGGGTGGACCTAAACGGTGTTGTGGCGATTTCGTGGGCCGTTTTTTTTTTCGAGTTCGTTTTGCGTGAAAGGCGTATTGAAGACAAGACGAGGGAGAACGAAAACAAAACGAAAACGACAAACACCTTTTTAGGTTCAGCCTTAGGAAGAGGGGCCCGAGTAAAGCCAGCATCCACCACTGGTGCGGCAGGATGCGCCAGACCTGCCCAGGCCGTCTTCGGCAAGGACCTCTCTGCGTGTGACTTTCCTGATGTCCAGCGGGTGGGAAAAAACGCCACCCGAGTACTGACCCCTGTGCAGCTTGGCCCAGACCCCAAGGGCCACGTCGTGCAGCGGGTCGGCGAATCAGGTAAGGCGCTTTTGTCCACCCGTTGCGGAGCCACAGGGTCCTCCGAGCGGGCCACGTGTGCCCAGACATCCGACGGCTCGATTTTTTCGAGACACGGGCCCCCAACCTCCCGACCACTTCCCGGGGACCGCTTTTTCATCCCGAGCCGTACTTTTTGGACGGCCCCGAGGCCCGGCGAGGGCCTCCAGAGGCCGAAAACGAGGAAAAGCCTCTGCCTCGATGCTTGTCGAGACGCCCGAGGTTTGGGTCTCGGGGCCGTCAAAAAACGGCCCGGGATGAACAACCGGTCCCGCAGAAGTGGTCGGGAGGTTGGGGGCCCGTGTCTCGAAATAATCGAGACGTCGGATGTTTGGGTTTCTTTCCATCTAGAGATTGTTTTTTTAGGGTCGGGCGATAGCCCGGGTTATCGGGCTTGCCCCCCTTCTCTCCCCCCCAAGGATAATCTGGCCTTGCCGGCTGTGCAGGTCCGCGGGAGTGGGGGCGCGGGCATATGCAGGGCTGCCCACAGCGCGAGGGTGAGGTTATCGGCCGGCCCACTCCTCTCCCCCCCCCTCTCGGGATAACCCGGGCTATCGCGAATTCCCCAAAAACGGTATCTTATCCTTCTATCTTCTCGGCTCAGGTATTGGACAACGCTAGCGTCGCTCATTTCGCCGCGGCGCATGGAAAAATGCGACTCTTCCTTCCCAGTCGTCCTCTACCCACGGACCATACGGTAGGTTCGACTCTTTGGTTGTCAGCCTCCGTACACAGCGGTGCCCCCCCCCCCCCCCCCACGCAATATGGACGGAGTCAAGACCCTGAGGCTGCTCAAATATAGGAAGGGCTTTCCACCAACCGAGTGGTGGGCAGGAGCTTTTGCCTCACCATCACTCAATTCGTGTGTCTGTTCTTTTTTATTCCTGTTCGTCGCGTTCTATCTGGAGGCAAACGATCTGCAGCTTGAAGGAGCCTCAATGATGGAGGAGGAGGAGGAGGGGGAGCGAGGAGGAGGGTTCAGGGTGGATGGAAGAGAGCGAGGAGGATGGAGTAGGGAAGGATGAGCAATGATGAACGGGATAGGGTCGGCGCGGAGGGAGGGGCGGAGGAGGAGGAGGAGATAGTGAACGGGGTCAAGTGAAGGGGAGGTTTTCGTTTTTCGGGGAGGCTTTGTTTTCTTTTTTGTACTATTTCCGTTTTCTTTCCCGCGCTTTCGCCATCGTTTGCGATTTTGCTCGGCCTTCCTTCCTCCCTCCTGCGCTCTCCTCTCTCCTCCCTCCTCCTTCACTGAGGATTAGGGAGAGGGGTCCTTTGATGAGTCACTCCTCCTCCTTCTTTTCCTCCTCTTCCTCCCTTCCTCCTCCGTCTTTGTCGTCGTCGTCGATGTTTGTCGTCGTCGTCGTTGTCGTTGTCGTCATGGTCGTTGTCGTCGTCGTCGTTGTCGCCGTCGTCGTTGTTGTCGTCGTTGTCGTCACCGTCGTCGCCGTCGTCGTCGTCGTCGTCGTCGTTGAAGTTCGTCGTCGTCGTTGCCGTCTTTGTCGTCGTCGTCGTTGTCGTCGTCGTCGTTGTCGTCGTCGTCGTCGTCGCTCTTAGGCGGCTGCAGCGATGTCGCAGCAGTGGCTGGATCGGGTCGACATCGGCGTCGCGGCCGCGGGGGACTGGCGGTGCGCGGCGTGCGGTGCGCGCAACGCCGCGAACTGCAAGGTCTGCTACAAAAGGCTCGGCGGCGAGCGAAGGGGGGAAGTGAGAAGGAGAAGGCCTTCTCGGAAGGCGGATGGATTTCTCAGAAGCCCTCGCGGCTTCTGAGTGGTCTTTTGTGTCTTCGGAGAAGGCTTAGAAAACTTTTCAGAAGGCCGGAGACATTCTGATCCTTTTGAGAAGGATTGCCCCCTTTCACTTCCCCCCCGGGCCCGCCGCCGAAAGGCGGTGCCAACGCTCGTGGGCGAACGGGCTGCGGGCGTCGCGGGGCGGGGACCTGGTGGAGGAGGACAGGGCGGAGCGGCGGCCGGCCGAGCGGCGCGGCGGGGGCGGAGGGGTCCAGGCGAGGCTGGACGATGCGAGGGAGCGGCGGCGAGAGGCGGAGCTGGCGTCGCAGGTGGCGGCCTTGCAGGCGGAGGCGGCGGCTGCCAAGGTGGTGGCGGTGCTGGCGGAGGTGGCGCAGGCTCGATTGGGTTCGTGGAGGGAATGTGGGAGTGGTGTGTGTGTGCGCGCGTGTGCGTGGCCACCTGCTTCGCCCGCCCGAGGCCCCGCCGCCCTTTGCCCTGTCTCCTTAATTCAAGCTGCGCGTAGCCCGCTTAGTTTTTAGCGGAAGAGGTTCGCTATCGCCCCGCCGACCAAAAAGTGCGCGTGCGTGGCCGACGAGGACCGCGCCGACGGCGACGGCGACGACGACGACAACGATGACGACGACAAAGACGACTTTTGACAACAGCGAACGTCGAAGACGACGAAATTCGACGACAACGACGACGACGACAACGACGACGACGACGACGACGACGACAGCGACGACGACGACGACGACGGTGGGAGGGTGAGTTGCCTGCTCAGCCTGCTTAGGCGGAGGCGGAGATCCAGGCGGCGCAGGCCGCGGCCGCCAGCCGCGGCCGCGGTGGTCCGGCCGCGGCCGCGCCGGCCGCGGTGGCAGAGGCCCGAGTTGTCGTCGTCGTTGTCGTCGTCGTCGTCGTTGTCGTCGTCGTCGTCCATCTCGTTGCCGTCGTCGTCCTCGTTGTCGTCGTCTTCGTCGTCGGCTTCGCCGCTTGCCAAAGTCGCGGGCGGAGGCCCGAGTCGTCCTCCGCGTCGTCGTCGTCGTCGTCTTCTTGTTGTCGTCGTCGTTGGCTCCGCCGCTTGCTGGAGTCGTGCGCGGAGGCCCATGTCGTCGTTGTCGTCGTCGTCGTCGTTGTCGTCGGTGTCGTCGTCGTCGTCGTTGTCGTCGTCGTCGTCGCGGTTGTGGTCGTGGTCGTGGTTGTGGTCGTCGTCGGTAGTTAACGTCTTCGTTGTCGTCGCCGCTGTCGTCGTCGTTGTTGCTGTCGCCGTCGTCGTCGTCGTCGCCCAGGCAGCGCCGGCCGCGGCGGCCGCGGCGGCGGAGGCCCGAGTCGGAGTCGCCGTTGTCGTCGTCGTCGTCGTTGTTGTCGTCGTCGTCGCCGTTGTCGTTGTCGTCCTTCTCGTCGTCGTCGTCGTCACCGTCGTCGTGGTCGTGGTTGTGGTCGTGGTCGTGGTCGTGGTCGTCGTCGGTTGTTAACGTCGACGTCGTCGTCGTCGTCATTGTCGTCGTTGCCGTTGTCGTTGTCGTCGTTGTCGTCGTCGTCGTCGTTGTTGTCGTCGTCGGCGCTTCCGCCGCTTGCCGGAGTCGCGGGCGGAGGCCCGAGTCGTCGTCGTCGTCGTCGTCGTTGTCGTCGTCGTCGTCGTGGTCGCGGTTGTGGTCGTGGTCGTTGTCGGCTGATATAGTCGTCGTCGTCGTCGTCGTCGTCGTCGTCGTTGTCGCCATCGCCGTCGCCGTCGCCGTCGTCGTCGTCTGCCATTGTCGTCGTTCGGCGTTCAGGCCGCGCCGCAAAGTGGCGGTGGCGGCGGTGCGGCGCTGGGTGCGGTGCAGTCGGCGGAGGCCGGGGTCGTCGTCGTCGTCGTCCTCGTCGTTGTTGTCGTCGTCGTCGTTGTCGTTGTCGTCGTCGTCGTCGTCGTCGTCGTGGTCGTCTTTGCTTGCTGGAGTCCCGGGCAAAGATTTGAGTCGTCGTCGGCGTCGTCGTCGTCGTTGTCGTTGTCGTCGTCGTCTTTGTCGCCGTTGTCGTCGTCGTCGTCGTTGTCGTCGTCGTCGCCGTCGGGCGGGCCGTCGCCGCCGTCGTCGTCGTCGTCGCTGTCGTCGTCGTCGTCGTCGTCGTTGTCGTCGTCGTCGTCGTCCTCGTCGTCGTCGTCGTCGTTGTCGTCGTCGTCGTTGTCGCGATTGTCGTCGTCGTCGTCGTCGTCGTCGCACTCGTCGTCGTCGTTCTGGCTGAGGCCGAGCGCAAGGCAGAGGCCGAGCGCAAGGCGGCGGCGGATCGCGAGTTGGTGGAGGCCGCCCGAGCGCGTCGTCGTCGTTGTCGCGGTTGTCGTCGTCGTCGGCGTCGTCGTCGTTGTCGTCGTCGTCGTCGTCGTCGTGGTCGTGTATGTTGTCGTCGTCGTCGTCGTCATCATTGTCGTCGTCGTCGTCGTTTTCTCGTATGACGTCGTCGTTGTCGACATCGTCCTCGTCGTCGTCATTGTCGTCGTCGTTGTTGTCGTCGCTGTCGGGCGCGCCGTTGCCGCCGTCGCCGTCGTCGTCGTCGTTGTCGTCGTCGTCGTCGTTGTCGCCGTTGTCGTCGTCGTCGTCGTCGTCGTTGTCGTCG